TGTAGATTGTCTCATCTGTTTTCAGACCCTGTCATTCCCTTTATTTTGCATAAGACAGATTTCTCCATGTGTCCTATGGAGTGAAAGGTAATTCTGATCTGGGCCAGAGGCTGGCAGGCAGGAGCCCACAGTTTTGTCTTTCTGCATGGTGGCCTTGGCCTCACCTTCCTGCCCTTTCCTCCATCTGCTCATGGGATACCTTGGAGTCTTTGCAACATTTCCCCTAACCTTACAAAAGTAGGCCACAGAAAGGGATGGAGGGGTGAGAAAGACAGCAGTTGTGCTGGTTTAGTATTATTAAAATAAATAGATTTTATTGCAACAGGAGTTGCATTGAAGAAAAGGGTTGATTTGTAGTGAGACATAGAGATGTGGGGTATTTTGTTTTGGCTGAAAAACCACATAGTGAGATGGTCAAAAAGGGTTGAAGAGTTGTGACGAGCCAAAGGCTGCCTGGTTAAGCTTTTTGACTGTGTGAAGTTTCTGCAGAGAAAAATGTTCCTTGTCTATAGAGCATTGTCATCCAAATAGTTATGTTACTCTCATCCAATAAATTAGTTATTTGACATGTGTTAACTGCTTTAAAGAGCTGTAGAAAAGGTGAGGGCTGCGAGGGTACCTGGTCACACTTCTAAATTCCCCCCCCTTTTTTTTTGCTGTCCAAATCTAAACATAGACTTTTGCTAGCTGTTCTTTTACTAAGAGATAATCTTTACCTATAGAAATGTATTTTTTAAAACTTTACACAGCAATTTTGTATCCATGTAAACTAATCTTTGTATTCAATAAAGCACTATTGCTTAAATATTATTTGGATAGTTCTAATTGTTTCTTGTTTTACTTTTTTTGATTAGTATATGTTTGTGATACATAATATTTACTGTGGGTAGTTGGTACAGGTTCACATGGAATCTTACTATCTTTTTTTACTTTCCCCTTTCACCCCTGCTGGTCTCTTCTATCTCTAGATCCTCTTCCAACCCACAAAAGACCTTCCTATTTGCTATTATCCTGTATTTTGCTCTTTACATTATTTCTTTCTCATATATAAGAGGAATCATGTAATATTTAACCTTTGTGTCCGATTTATTTCAGTAAGCATTGTGATCCTACTAATGACTCAGATTCATTTTTCTTTTAATTATTTTATTTTACTTTGTAGTTTTGTTTTTTCAAATCTTTTTTCTCATTAACTATTGAAAATCAGTAATTATATAGCATATTAAAAATTGTAGACAAATATTGAAATGTGAAAGATAAGAGGTAGACAGTGAATTTTAGAGAAATATTTGTAAAATGAATACATAGCATGAGATTAGTAATAGACTGCACATTGTAAATAAATTATTTACAAACTTAATATAACAATAAAAATTATCCAAAATAAAAATGAAGAATTTATAGATCAGTCATCTAATAGTTCACCCTGTGCCAAAATCAAGAAACTAACATTCATGTAATTAGAATTCTCAAAGTAGAAAGAGGATTTTTTTTTTGAACCGGGGATTGAACTCAGGCCCATGCACTTGCCAGGGAAGCACTTATTCCTCTGAGCCATCTCCCCAGCCCTTTGAAATATTCTAATACCTCCGGACATATCATATAGAAAATAACAAAGAGCATAATCCAGGAGGCAAGAGAAGTTGCTGTATGGTCTTGGATAAAGAATAGAGTTCTCAAAATGGTAGTTATTCAGGACTATGTAAAATATATTAGATGAACCCATTTAAAAAGTCATTGAAGCTTTCTACAAAACAGTATTAATTTTATGTCAGGTTATATACACATTTTTTAATTTATGTGTGTGTGTGTGAGAGAGAGAGAGAGAAAAAGCAATATAGTCAATGGAAAATTGAAATACACTTTTTAATTTCTTTTTTTTTTTTTGCTCTGAATGCCTTCAGGGCAGGTTTGGCTGGCTTGAGTTGTGGGGATCGAACCACAGCAACCTGAGCCTGACAGCTTTGTTGAGCAGCCACTTAAAGAACTGAGCTAAGGGGCAGGCCCCCTTTAGTTTCTAATACTAGGAGAAAACATACCATGTTTTATCAGTAGATGATAAGTCAAAGATACAGTATAAATCTTAACAATTAAGATTAAACAATATTCAGAAAATTAAATATTA